CAAACCACAAAGTAGATGTGAGGGAGAGGTGGGTAATGCATTTGAAAGCTTTTAGGTGTCCAATAAGAAAATATGTCCCAAATGAGGAGATGGACCTGGAACTTTAAAGGATCAATGCCATAGAAATATTGGTGGAGCTGTTATATCTTCTTAGACCTAGTATATAATTATTTGAGAATTAGAAATCTATCCTGAACTTTTTAATGATCCTTTCTATAATTACTTCTGTTCTCCCATTATGCCATTCTATACTATTGCTCTAAGTAGATAATCAAAATTAGGATTCAAACTCAAAACTAAAAACATTTCATTGTTCCCATGATCAAAACATGTTCCTCCACTTTTTAAAAACTATATTACCATATTCCTATTTGCCCTGAGTTTAAAAACTCTGAGCACTCTTTAAACCATTCCTCTGTCTTGGTCTCTACCCTTAAACATCAAGTCTTAACAATTCTATCACGTATCTTTTCCATATGCATCCCCCTTCCTTCCTCATTTCTGATGCCTTAGTTAGGCAGACCCTCATTATCTCTAGCCAGAAACAATTTCCTTAACATCTCTCCCTGTTCCCATTCATCCTAAACAGTGTGGCCAGATTAACTTTCCTGAAAAAAAGCTCTAATTCATCACCTTACCGTGCTAAAAAACAGTTAGTGGTTCCTCCATCACCTTCAATATAAAGTTTAAACTCCTTAGACAAGAGTGAAAGGGCCTCCATGATCTGAATACAACCTACTTTTTCAGTCTTAAATCCTATATGCATCTTTTCTTTAAATTTGGAACCTGAATTGTTGGCTGTTTTAAAGTTCTCTGCCTATTCTTTCTGCCTGAAATGTCTCTCCTCTCAATTTCTGTCTATATAAATCCTTTCATTCTCCAAGACCAACTAAAACCCATTTCCCTATAGAAACTTCCAATGGCTTCCAAGAAGTAATTTTTCTATCTAGTAAATTCCCATAACATTATATCTATATAGCTCTATGGAATTTATCATATAATAGACACTTAATTAGAGTTCATTTTATATGCCTTATATCTCTTACTAGAATATGAATTATTAAAAGTTAGAGACCATTGTTTAATTCATTATGGATGTACCATATCATCTAACATAGGAGTTCTCAACTGGTTACATAGATAGAATTCAGGGGATCTCTAAACTTTTATGGACAAATTATTTTTCACTAACCTGTATTGAAAATTTGCATTTCCTTAAATTATAGATGCAAGTAACAAACCATACTGTATTTGTAGTTCCTATGACATTGTTACCAATAGTATCACAATTGATATTTTATATGACATTATACATGGAGGTATCTCAAAATACCTTTTAAGCTTATCACTGCTTAAAAATTATTATACTGTTAGGCCCTCTATAAGATCTTGTTTTTAATGCATTAGTAGAATAGCATATTCTACGATATCACAAATGTTTTAAATGATTTACTGTTTAATATAATTCATTGTATCTGTAATCGGTATATTTTACCTTATTAATTTAAAATAATTTTAAGAAAAGATCTGTAGGCTCTACTAGACTATCAAAGGGATTCACAGAAAGAAAAATTAAGAATCCTTGAGTTTTAATACAATGAATTTCACAGACGAAGAATGTGTAGACAAATAATCAGAATACTATGTAGTCCTTGAAAAATGCTATAAAAAAGGTATACCATAAACTGTAGAATATTTTATAAAAATATTCACAAAAATTCATAATATTGGTGTTGAAAAAAGATCAAACTTCTGTCTTCTACAACACCTCTATTAAAATAACAGTAGAGATTGCTGCATATTTCCAAGGATAGACAAGTTACTGTCTTCTGAAGAAGAATATTTCATATAAACAGCTACAACTGTTAGCTAGTTGATCTTATCAACCATAATCAGGTTCCTCATAACTTCTTTTCCCTGACCTGTATTCTATCCCCAGGAAGCTAGGCAGTGTAAATCCAATCCCTTCTCCAAGTGACTTTACTCTTTAAAGATACCATCACATCATCTTTGATTTGCTTTTCTCTGGGATCAGTATTACTTATTCCTTCAACCATTCTTTTTATTATATAATTTCATCTCTGTGATTATTCCAATTGTTCTCTGAGAATATCCCAATGCCTTTGAGTTCCTCTTAAAGTGTGGTAATTCTGAACTCAACACAATAATTCAAAAACATTCTATTGAGCAGGGAGTTTAGTGGTACTACCACCTCTTGAATGCATCATAATGTACTTCTAGTGATGCTGAAAAAAATAGCACTGGCAATTTGTTGGCAATATTCATCATGCTGACCCCATTGCATTTTCTGTCACTTAACACTCATAAGGTTTTTTTGTTTGTTTGTTTTGTTTTGTTTTGTTTTCTTTATCATTCATCTGGCTGTTATTTGAATTTTCTTCAGCAATTACTTGTGCAGCTGGGATTTGGGTCACAACTTCTGAACTTGATAATAAGATCTATTAAATTTTATCATGATAGGTTATTTTTAAGTTCATAATTTCAGTTTGTCAAAACGTTTTGAGTTTTGTTTCCTTCATACATTGCATTCACTGTTCCAGGTTTGTGAGACTACTAAATTTGACAGCATGTTTTCAGTCATTTCATTTGCACTTAACATATTTAGATTATGTACATTAATATATTCTGAAGATACCTGAATTTCTGATGTCTAAAACATATATATTGCAAAAAAAACTGTAGAATATTAAAATATTCATTACTAGCAGAAATACAGTAATAAAGAACTCTTAAAGGACTACTGTCTCACTTTGTGTCTCTCGTACAAAAATCAACTGTAACATATGGTAACAAAGAGGATGAACAGAAAATTAACCATTATCTGCAAGGAAAAAATTATTTAAAATTCCCTAGTATTCCAGAAAAAAATCATCACCAATCAGTGTCTTTATTTTTACATTAAAGAACCCTCCAAAGTATTTGAAAACCACTTACTTATAAAACTAAAACCATCTTTTGGTGGATCACAATTAGAAGTAATCTAGCAATCTTACTTATTCAGTATATAATTATCTGGCAATCCCCATTATTCAGAACACAGCCAAGAATACGGAAAACAAAGTCTCACAAGCCGAAAGTGTCAGCATGTAGTTCATGCACTAAAGACCATATGTATTTCCCAGAATTTCTCAGCAACACTTCCAGAATATACTTGTTCATATTTCAAATACAGTCTAGAATGTCCTGATTATCTAATTTTATAATCTATAGATAAATAGGAGAAAATTAGAAATTATTTACAACTAAGGAAGAAATAATAGCTTGCAACCCGATATTGAAGGAGAAACGAACACATGCACCAAAAAATATATACATATATGCAAATACATATGTGTAAATATATATATGTATATACATATATATATATATCGAGCAGTCACAAGAACTCTAAAGTTTCATAATTGTAAAGAAAAATAACCATAAAAGCCCTAATAATCTCAATGATTTCTAGGGGCATCATATAATAGCACAATAAAATAATTGACATTTATAATATATCAGTTATATATAATATGTACAATAAGTTAAATTTATATAGCTTATAGTCAATATTTATATAGTTTACAGTTAATTAAAAACATTCATTATCATAATTAATTCTCAAAATGTTTAAGTTGCCAAGTTAGTTACCAAATTTTAAATTTTGCAGCTTAAATAGATTGAAGAATTTACGTAGGGCCACATAATTGTTTGAAAGGTACTGAAGTTCCTAGTCTACTGTGTTATGACCCTGGGTCATCAAAAAATATATACATTTTGTACCATGTAATCTGATTAGTGAAACAGGGAAGCATGCGATATATTTTAGAAATACTTCTACAAAAATTAATTGGAATCTTTTAAGCTTTTGAGTCCTTAAAAGGATAAAATTGTTAAATAAAAAATTCCCTAATATCAAATCCCAATTTGTCTATAGCGTCATGAAACTCTCAATTTAACTTGCAATGCTAGTAATATATCCAAAGCTATTAATTACTCTATATTATCAGGTCTAAAATATGTACATAAAAATGAAAGTGCAACATAGTATAACCATCACTTAGACTTGATTCATTTTGGTTAAAAATATTATTGGAGAGTCTTTTCTTTTTTAATTTCTGTTTTCTAGGACGTTGGTGAACACGAGTGAATTCTTGTACAGAGTAGAGAAGGTAGATGTGGGATGTTCCAAGAGATGTCATGTAACAAAGAAGTCACTCTTATGCATTTAGCTTTAACAATATTTGAAGCCCTGAACTCTCCATTTTACAATGTAAGGAGATAAAATAATATATTTTAAAAATAAAGAGAAATATTTTTAATTTTGTTGTTTGTTTGTTGATGGAGTCTCACTCTGTTGCCCAGGCTGGAGTGCAGTGACACAATCTCAGCTCACTACAACCTCCACCTCCTGGGTTCAAGTGATTCTCCTCCTTCAGCCTCCCGAGCAGCTGGGACTACAGGCACCTGCCACCATGCCAGGCTCATTTTTGTATTTTTAGTAGAGATGAGGTTTCACCATGTTGGCCAAGCTGGTCTTGAACTCCTGACCTCAGGTGATCTGCCTGCCTCAGCCTCCCAAAGTGCTGGGATTACAGGTGTGAGCCACCACACCCACACTAATTTTGTTTTTTAAAGTTGATATTTTTATAAAGAAATGCTATCCACCAAAAGAAAATAAGGGAGAAAAAGTGAAAAATAAAATTGCAGTTAGGAAAAATCCCTTACTACCTTTTTCCAGAGTAAGGATTATGTTAAGTTTAAAACCTTAATTTGTTATCGTAAGAACCAAATAAAATACATAAAGTTTTAGAAAAGTGGAGCTATCTGTTTAATACTCCTAATAGATCACAATCTGCCATCACCATGGTAACCTCTGAATAACTTTTTCCTAGCTGGTGCCAATTATGCACTTCTCCAGCCCTTGAAATCCCACTCTTTTTTTTTTAAGGCCTAGAATCTTTAGGGGGAAAAAAGCCCAACAGTGAATCCACACATACCCTCTTGTTCAGTCCGAGTCATTTCCTCAAGCTTCTTCTGTTTCAGTGTGTCCACCACATCGGCAAGACTCCCTTTGCGGCGTTCTGGGGTTCCAAAAGTAACACTGGTCATTATCTCGCGGTCCCGACTCCCTTCGTCAGGCTTATGTGGTGAGGTAGAGGTATTTCGGAAGGAATATAGGGAACATAACTTATTATTCTCTGATTCCTAGAAAAATAAAATAAAATGAAACCATTAGAATATAAGTTTCTTTGCATGCTACTGAAGAAAAAAATCCCAAACTCACGACAGTATATGATGCTTAGTAGACAAATAAAATATATTAATGAAAATAAAATATAAGCAACTTAGTAGGGCAAATAAAAAATATAATTCTGATTAAACAATACTGATCAAACAAATTATAATTAAACAAAACATTAAAGAAACAATTGTCAAAAAACTAATGTGAAGTTGGAGATTAAAATTGTTTAGTTTTTGAAATATAAAGCAGTATGTGTTCAAAAGCAAACATTTCAACTCCTTACTCATTTAGACCTTTCATTTAAATTAGTTCAGATTCAATGACTAGTTATTAGGATTGGTAAAGTTTTTCTTTTAATTGGGCACTTTTATTGGCAACACTCTTCCCATAGCATTAAAAGACGTACATCACAAAAATGCTGTCCTTTAGTTTAGAAACAGTAGAAAAGTTAGCTTCAGTAGCCAATGTTTATTGTTCATCAGAAAATATATAAATTATCTAAATGAGTGCCAGAAAGTTAGCCAACCTGGATTTTTTGTGTGCTGTGGTTTAGAGAAAACTTTTCATTTTGGATTTTCTAGCTATACATCTGTCCAAAGTTACAGAAGTCTCTTTGTATTCCTTACCCTTACCATTGATACTTCAGCACATTTTTCATGTGGCATTTAAAAATATCTTTTTGTTTTTAACAAAAGGACAAGTTTGTCCTCAGATGAGAAGTAATATTTTTTAAAAAAAGGACAGGCTTATTACAGAAATATTTGTGCAGGAATTACTTCATAGTATAGAGAAGTTAGCTAACTGCTAAAAGGGTTAGATGAATTTGCTGAAAAGGAAAAGCAAATCGTAGGTAAAAAATAAACACCAAAAGTTTATAGAAATAAAATATTTTTATATGGCTCTAAATTGGAACTGAGGGTTGGACATAGCTATTTTTGGAAATAGCCCTTCAGCAGCCTTGCATTCACCTTTTATCTGTTTGTACAAGGCTATTCTCTCTCCCTACATTTATTTTTTTTAAGTGCATAAGGTAAATCAGCCAGTCTTTGTGATCATCATCAGACTCCTGAAAATCCTAATTGCTTCTCTATCTCTTTCCTTCACAAGGAAGCCCAGAAAGGGTCAAGAACTAGAGGACAAGCATGAAGAAAAAGTTACACAGTTAATAACTAACAGGAAAGGGGGAGAAAAGGAAAATAATATCTAGAGCAGTAAATTTCTACATATATTAAATGACATAATAATTGTACTCTACAAATGCTAGATATTTAGGATTATTGCCATGTATATAAGATGGGATAAAATGTATTTTCAGGGTTATAGAAAGTACTTAATGAGATAACATTTGTAAAACACCTAGGCACGGTGCTGGGCTCACAATACTGAAATGCTGTTTAATAACTGGTAGGTACTGTTTTCCTGAAGGAAGGAGCAGATCTAGGAATGGGACCAAAGAGGTTTTTCTTCCTTCTGAACCTGAGGAATTGCGAAGTTAAAAAAATGTTCACAAGTCTTGAACTAAGTTAAATATTGTGAAACCTCTGAATATATTAAAACCTTTGAGTTGTATACATTAAATGGGTAAATTGTATGTAATATTTATTATATCTCAATTAAGCTGAATCTTTTGATTAAGAGCTAAATCTTATTTTTTTTCTGCATACCCATTGCTAGTACAAAGCCCAGAACAGAGCAGCTCAACGTATTTGTGCTGAAATAAACAGAAACAGATAAAATTAATGGGGCAGGGCAGGGAAGAGAGCTCCTCTTTACCTTTCTTCTACATCCCATCCTTCATCCAGGAAAGACGTTTTATCTCACTTAATATTTACAAGAATTCTGTGAAGTGATGCAGAGGAACCCCTTCTTTTAGATGCTAGTCATGGCTAGTACATGGCCCCTTGGAATGGCCAGTTCATTCTCCACTTGCGCAAATGAAATGCAGAAATATCTATGTCAAAGCCATTTAGACCTCCTAATAAAGTCCACATTAGACATCTAACCAAGGCATTTATGAATTAATAATCACCATTTGATCAATCATACTTCAGATGCTTTCATTTCAAACCCAAATTATTGTCACATTATACCCCCCCTCAAAAAAAAAAAAACCACCTCTGACTCAGCTAAGGTATTAAAGAACAAGTCAAAAGAGTAATATGTGGAAGTAGTTACCTACAAATGATTCACTATGACTATAATAAAGGAGTTTTTCCCATCACTGCCGAACTGAAATTGAAAGATGCTAAGAGAGGCTCTCCAGCCTGAGTAACAACTTTAGATTGTCCTGAGAGAATTTAGGCTCCAAAGAGTACCATTTTTTCCTGTCAGGACTAATTCCAAACAGTCTTATTTACTCATTGTTGTGTGCTTGTTGGACTATGTTCCTTGTTCTTTACTCATGGGAATGTGGTCACTGTCATCCTGCACCACAGACAATAACCATGGGTTCCTTATTACAATGATGACCCACACTGTTCTCAGCCCGGTAATCTGTGCAAAGTGGCTTAACACTACCAAAGAGCAGAAAACAAGAGGCTAGAGAGTCATGATTTCCCCCCAAAAGCCACAAGAACTACTTATAATATGTCACCAAAGTATAAAAATAGGCATTAAATAAAAACAAATGGCTTAAGTTGTGTAAGTCATGTTATACCATGCTAACAACAGTGGGAAGGGGCACAATTTGCCATTTCCAGCCATCACTTTTTAACTTTCTAAAACTTAACAAATATTAACCTTTCATAAATGTTAGTCTGTAAGCAATTCATCTGGGTAAAAGGAACACATAAATTAATAAACTTATAATAGCTTACTGTCTAATATGAAGTCAATAATGCCACATTAAAAAAAAATCTTGACAAAGAATCTCTAGTTTTTTTAAGGAGGCTATATAATTTTGAAGTAAATTTTATTAAGAAAAAACACCCAGATTATTTTGTAATTTCTTAAGAACAAAACAGATCCAATGACACACCAACTGGGACAAAATATCTGATACAGTTTGGATTTGTGTCACCTCCCAAATGTCATGTTGAATTGTAATTCCCACTGTTGGAGGAGAGGCTTGGTGGGAGATAACTGAATCATGGCAGTAGACTTTCCCCTTGCTTATGACAGTGAATGAGTTTTCAGAACATCTGATTGTTTAAAAGTATGTAGCAACTTCCCATTCTGTCTCTTTCTCCTGCTCCAGCCATATAAGATGTGCCTGCTACCCCTTCCCTTTCCACCATGATTGTAAATTTCCTGAGGCCTCCCCAACCCTGCTTCTTGTATAACCTGAAGAACTGTGAGCTATTAAACCTCTTTTCTTTATAAATTACCCAGTCTCAGGTATTTCCTTACAGCAGTGTGGGAATAGACTAAACCAATGTCCAATGATAATATCTACCAAGTCTTAACGCATGTCATTGCAGCACTGCTGTGAAGAGACTTGAGATAATATTTCCCTAAAGCAGAGGTTCTCAAGCTTCAATGTGTAGAATTATCTGGCAAGTGTGTTAAAATGAAGATACCTTCACCACATACAACTTTCCACAATGATGGGGCCAAGGAATATGAATATTGATGAACAACCCTAGTGATTCTGATGCACAGTTCCTGACCCCACTTTAAGAAATACTGCTCCCTAAAGGACAATGAAATAAGTATGTTTTACCTTAATATTATAATGTGAATATAATGGTGTAAAAGTTTTTAAAGCTGGTTGTGATTCTTACTTCTCTTCTTTTGATCTTTCTTTTGAAAACCAACAAACATGAAAAAAAGCTCATCATCACTGGTCATTAAAGAAACGCAAATCAAAACCACAATGAGATACCATCTCACACCAGGTAGAATGGCAATCATTGAAAAGTTGGGAAACAACAGATGCTGGAGAGGATGTGGAGAAACAGGAACACTTTTACACTGTTGGTGAGAGTGTAAATTAGTTCAACCATTGTGGAAGACAGTGTGGTGATTCCTCAAGGATCTAGGACTAGAAATACCATTTGACCCAGCAAGCCGATTACTGAGTATATATCCAAAGGATTATAAATCATTCTACTCTAAAGACCCATGCACACATATGTTTATTGCAGCACTGTTCACAGTAGCAAAGACTTGGAACCAGCCCAAATGCCCATCAATGATGGACTGGATAAAGAAAATGTGGCACATATATACCACAGAATACTATGCAGTCATAAAAAAGAATGAGTTCATGTCCTTTGCAGGGACATGGATGAAGCTGGGAACCATCATTCTCAGCAAAGTAAAACAGGAATAGAAAACCAAACACTGTGTGTTCTCACTTGCAAGTGAGAGTTGAACAATGAGAACACATGTACACAAAGAGAGGACCATCACACACCACGGGCTTGTCAGGAGGTGGGGGACTAGGGAAGGGATGGCATTAGGAGAAAGTACAACAAACCACCATAGCATGTGTATACCTATGTAAGAAACCTGCATATTATACACATATGTCCCAGATATTAAAGTATAATTCTTTTTTTAAATCTTAAAAAAAAAAAACAGAAACAACCACTATATAAATGACAAAACACATGAACATCACAAAAAGAAGAACATGTGGACCCTGAGTTAGTAAACATTAGTTTATTCAAATGAAATTTACTACAAATTTCTTTTCTTTCAACCCCTTCAGCAGCCTACCAAACCTAACAGTGAAGAAAATTTTCAAAACATGATTTAAAAGGATCCCAGTCTCAATGCAAGGAAAAAAGCCATGTTGATTCAGATAATCTAAAGAGCATTTCACTGGAAATAAATTAAAGACAGTATGTAAAATACATGTAGATCATTGAAAAAGCATATGGTAGTAGTATTTCCAATGCAGAGAAAAAAACATGTTGATTCAGATAATCTAAAGAGCATTTCACTGGAAATCAATTAAACACAGTATATAAAATATATTAAATGATTGAAAAAGCACATAGTATCAAAAAATACTTAT